AACCAAAAATGGACTTGGTTTTCTTTCTTTCCTTCGATCAAGCCCAAAACCAAATCCACATTGGATTTTGGCTTCAAACCTTGCTGGGCCGCCAATTGGGGGAATAGGCCCAACACGGTGTGGCATTTTAGCCTAAAATATCCAATATTTTTAAAATAATATTGATGAGTCGGACACTCAAATCCTCGCACCAGATACGATACCTGTACCCCAGTCCAGGTAACATAGTTTCCTGATGCTTATCGTTTAGGAAGAAGTACCTGCGGATGATTCCCTGCTTTATTTCCTATTACATTCCATATTAATTTTAGTAATTAGATATGTTGAAATTGAACTCCTAAGAGTACCGAATCGGATCCCTTCTTGAGGCTTAAACCTCTTCTGATATCTGTTTTTGCTAAGTTCTTATTTGATTTCAGTCCTCCTTCGATGATGGATACGATGCCTCTTTTAGTTTTCACTTGAGTAGTGATGATCACAAAAGAAATTAATTTATACATGATTTAGTTCCTGAAATTTCAGAAAATATCCAACCTGAGTAGTTGTTTTGCAGAGCTTCGTTCTTTCAGTTTTAAAAACACTTTTAGGGATTTCTTTTCATGAATATCTTCTCCATTCAATTTAGTTTAATCTGGTTTTAATGGTTTATCAATCGGACACACGGATTGCTTAGAATTCAGATTTGAAAATGGCCATTCGTTATGGATGGACTGAAATTTTGAAAATTCCTGATGTAGAGCACTGTTTTGAAAGCCTGATTTCTTCTGCTTAACAAATCATTTTTCCTGATTTCTTTCTCTGAATCTACTCTACGTTCAACCTAGTTTTTATTGGTTTTAATGGCTTCCAAATTGCACATTGGTTTGACGGGAATTCACAATGAAAAGAGATGATCGCCACTGTAGTTTCTAAATTTTCAGAACTGATGGAGTGATGGATTGAACTTCTTTTTAATGAAAATTATTTAGGTGAATGCCTTCTATGTTTATTGGAGTTTATTACGAATTATACGGATTGTAAAATGGAGCTACAAATTGCCCGAAAAGTGGATTTGAACTTGACAAACCAAATTTGAAATATCATAAAACAAACTGATTTAAGGTGTTGTTTTGCAGACCAATTTTCTCGAGTCTTGAACTGTTAATTCTGATTTCTTTGATCAAAACTCTTTCGTGTTTACCCTAGTTTAAAATGGTTTTGATGGATCGTTAATCGGATTCTTGGTTTGATAAAAAATGTAATTTAAAATGACCCTTCATCACTAGTTTACTGAATTTTCATAACTACTTAATGGGAAGCTGGCTATGGGACTTTGGTTTTCCTTGATCAAATACCCTTTCCTCACATTACTTTCAAATCTATGGTTCTTGGTCAGCCATGTATGCAATAGAACTTTTGGATTAGAAAAATGACATGTCGATGATTAGAAAATGCATTTGGAACTTAATAACAAAATCTTATTTCATATACTATAAGGTTATTGTTTTAACTTCTGAATATTCTCAAAACACTTACTACCTTCCAAAACAAGAGTGACTCATTCTTATTAACCAGGAAGGTGTAGTTAAGAGTTAGCAACATAAATAAGGTTTAGACCTAGACAATACATAGTAGTACTACTTACTACTTCTCTAGGCATTGGGCAGTGATGCTAAAATTGCTTGTTTGATTAACAGATACTCATGGAAGCATCATTCAACTCCATAAGTTTCAACATGTCAGTACCTCCTCTCACACTGTATATTGTAATCTTGTCTCTCATTTTCAGTGCATGATTGTCGAGTTCTTTTGTGCTTGTGCTTTTATGCCTTTTGAATGAATTGTATGTCTCGTGTTAATATTTGAACTTCTTGATATGTGAACATGGTGTCACTGTTTGGCTGCATGCTAATTGAATTAAATTGCTTGTTCATCTTCAGTTGTGTACTTTATCACACTGAGATTTACTATTAACATAACTTGTCTTGAAAGAAATACTTGTGCATGAATTGCAATGATATTTGAAGACTTGAATGTGTATATTATCACACCAATCTTGGGGCCCCGCAACCATAGATCGATTCCAACGGGTCGGCGATGGGCATAGATGTATGGATAGACTATGGATAGCTTTAGTAGGCGTGCACGAGCCACGAATACTTGTTTTTGTGGCCACTTGGGGTAAAGGATAATCTGCTTTTGTCTTGAATGATCTTGAACACTATTTGGAATCTAACTTGGAGGACGGCCTATAGGACCACATAGGTCTTTGGCAGTTTCCAGTTAAAATCCGCCTGTATCCTCTCCATATGTATCTCCTTGTTAATATGCTGATGGCCTCGGTTATGGTCATCCTTTATATGTCACTGTGTGATTGATTGTTCTTTTACAAATGCAACTCACCTCGAGAATTACCTATTTTTATTCTTTGATTGGATTAGATTGATAGAACTATTTAGACAATGTTAATTTATAATAAAGAAATAATGACTAAAATGAATTGTGTGAGTAACTGTATGTGCATGTGATTCGATTACTGTATAGAGTGTGAGAGCCTGGGAGTTTTTGTTTGAGGTATTTACTAGGCTATTAGCTGATCCCAATAATTTTTCTACCACAGGTTAGCAAGTGAGCCAAGTTTCCGTAAAGCTTTGGCGTGCAAATGAAATAATCATTTGGCTGTTCTTTAATCTAAATTATTTCATACTTAAATTGTATTAGAATTTGTTTACTCTAAGTTGTACATGATTGTAATAAATTTTGGAAACATCTTTTGTTGTAATTAAGTCTTCCGCTGGGAAAATTTAGAAATTTGAACATGTAATAGTTTTAGTTAGTTCTGTTTCACAAAGCCTTGGGCGAGAGATCATCCGGCGGGCGGCTCAGTTTGTCACTAAATACGATAAATAAGCGTGATTGAGACTTGGCTCATCACACAAAAAGTCATTAAACATTAGTAAAGATAAGGCAAGAAACTTTTAATTACAAATTGGTAAATACTTTTCATTTTTTCTTTAATAGTTGTTTTAATTTTAATTTATTTTTAACCAAAATGATTTACTTTTGTTTTTGGATTGAGAAAATTTTATGGGAGGGCGACACCTCATTACTTTTTGGGATAAGAACAATTACCCCCCTGAGTTTTGTCTCAAACATGAAACCCCCGAGTTTTTATCAAAGGATAAATACCCCCTGAGTTGTGTTCATATGACCAAAACATCCCCCTTTGAAACACAAAAAGACTATAATGACCTCAGTACTCATGGGGTTCAATTTTTTTTTCCAATTCTTTATTTATTTAAAATTTTTATCCTATTTTTTAAAGATTAATTATTTTAATACAATTTTCTTTCTTCTTTATTTTTTTACTTTATTTAGTTTAATTAATTTTAGTTATGCTTTTCTTCCTTTTTTAAAATTCCTTTTATTATTTTATTTAGATTAATTATTTTTAATGCAGTGTTCTTTCTTTTTTTAAAATTTTTTTCACTTTATTTTAGTTTAATTTTTTTTAGTTGTATTTTTCTTTCTTTTTAAATTTTTCTACTTTATTATGTTTAATTGTTTTTAGTTTAGTTTTACTATTCTTTTAAATTTTTTATTTTTATCTTTTGATTCAAAAGTAAATAAAAAATATATATTTGATTTTGCCCAAATTTATTTCAAGTTTGTAAAATCATATTTCATGCTACTGCTGTCATTTTTCTTTGAACTCTAAATATCTGCTATCCCTTTATACGTGCACACTTCATTTTACAAATCTGGAATAAATTTAGGTAAAACCAAATATATTTTCTAGTTATTTTTGGATTGAAAGAAGAAAAAAAAATTGAAAAGAAAGAAAAACATAAGTAAAAAAATTACTCTAAATAAAGTAAAAAATATTTAAAAAAGAAAGAAAACCGAATTAAAAACAATTAAACTAAATAAAATAGGAAAAAAAACTTTAAAAAAAAAGAAGAAAAAGTTAGAAAAAGGACTCCATGCGTATTGAAGGCATTATAGTCTTTTCGTGTGTCAAAGTTTTGGTCTTATGAACACAACTCAGGGAGGTATTTGTCTTTTGATAAAAGTTGTGGGGTTTAAGGGTTTAGAACAAATATCAGAGGGTAATTGTCCTTATCCAAAGAGGAAAATACAAAAGAAAGAACGCAAAGACCTATTTGTGGTTTATGAATCAGACTATTTGCAATCTTTAGTTCCTCATAAGGTTATGAAGTTGGACCGTTGGAATAAGACAATTCGATGAAGCTTCTTACTCGGAATTCTATGGCAGATAATAGCTGATCAATTCATCATTATGTGCCCTGTTAAAGGAAAAGCAATAAGAAAATCAAAGCTAAGCTACCAAGTATATGTACGTCATTTGATACAAATGGAGAACCAATTATCATAGGATCCCAAAACTTTCAAAAGTAGGAAAGTTATTTTAGGACTTGGTAATAAATTCCTACAACTATAATCTTACACTTTATTAAGAAAAAAGAAAAACTATGGTTGCAAATGATTCGAGCTACATTTGCGAGTAGCTTGCGAGCAGTTAAATTAAAACTTGACCTAAATTAGCAAGGTTGCGATCGAATTTGTGCCAAATTCTAGCTAGTAGATTGAGGTTAAGTAAACCAAATTACGCGATTCGAGTGTTTTGTGGAGGCTACTTTCATTTTTCAAAATCAAATCTCACGTCAAACATTAACATTAACTTTATTTATAAATTTTCTAATATATACTCCTAATACTAGCTATCATTAAAATCTAGATCATTTAATTAATCCAACTCCAATATCACCAATATATTAATAAGGAAATAATAGATTTATCTAACCTTTTAAATTAGATCACCCCTTTTTTAATCTCGATATTTGACTAAATGAGAATAGAGCCATAGAGGGAGTATTATTCTGAAATTTATACACCTAACTTCCTCTCCTTCCTGACCTTCAGTTTCCACCGCGGTAATTATCCAATCCAAGCTGGTCTAAATGCATTCAGAAGTTCTCGATTTCCTAAGACATTCTAAAGCAAGACCCTTGAGTTCTTTTGTCTGTTCACATTAAACGCTTCCTCATTTTCCAACAAATTCTTCAACTTGAACACTCAAGGTCTTCTCCAGTTTCCATCGTCTTTCAATCCCCATTTTCCCTTGCTTCAACAAATTTTCTCTCTTTATCTTTCATTTAAAGAAAATATTTCAAATATTCTCTCTTTATCTTTCATTGAGTTATAAACAGGATTTACATCAGAATGGCGAAGAAGAAGCATCACTCTAAAGATGCAATTTTTGAAGAAAATGCAAGGGAACACGATCAGATACCTCCAACCCAACAAAAGCCCACTTCGAAAATCCTCGAGGCAGAGCAGAAAACTGGCTCAAATTCCAAGAAGCGAAAGAGGATCAGGAAGGAAAAGAAAAGGAAAGATAATGCTAAAGATCAAGTCTTTGAAGAGATAGGAGAAAAAGAACAAGATGAGGGCAAAAGGTTGTTCTTTCAATCTGAATCTTCACCTCAAGAATTTGATGGCATTTCAGAGCCCACTTCCAAAACCCTCAATGCAGAGAAGAAATCGGTGTCAAATTATTCAAAGAAAGGGAAGAAGGAGAAGGCTTTGAAGCATGATGATAATGACAAAGAGAAGGTTGAAAACCTCATCCAAGATGAAGTCTTTGAGGAAACAGAGCATGCAGCCCTAGTTGAGGGGAAATCAGATCTATTTCAACCCACTTCTTCAACTCCAAGTTTTGCTACTGATTCAGAATGTATGCCAAATAATAAAAGTGGAAATCCCAATTCAAAAACCCAAAGGGAAGAGCTGAAAGAAGAAAGGAGTAACGGTTCGGGTCTGACAGGTTCAAGGGTGTTTACAGAGGATGATGAGCTTGTTCTGCTTCAATGTAAGATTGATCTTGGATTATTACACAAGGTACCGGCATCATCCGTTAGTGCTAGTGCCTTGCACAAGTATTTAGTTGCCGAGCTTTCATATGATTTTAGCAATACACAGATTTATGAAAAGATAAGGAGATTGAAGCAAAAATTTGTTAAGAACAGGGAAATGTTTGGAAAATATGGTGGTGACATTGCTGCTTCCTTAAGGTCACATGAGGTTTTGGTGTTTGAGCTTTCAAAGAAAATCTGGGGTGGAGAAAATTATGAGAATGTTGAAGATCGGATTTTAGTAGAGGATAATGGGATTGATGTGAAGGCTAAAAAGAAGATCAATAAAGGGAAAAGGAGTTTGAGTCCAGAATTCGGTGCAAACGAAGCGGCTGCTGCATCTGTGGATGACAAAGATGGTGAGGTTTCCATGAAGAAGAAAAGATTGCTAGATGCCATTGAGAAGGTTACAAAGAAGATCAAATTATTGCTTGAGCTTGCACAGCTTGAATGTGATGAACTGAAGGAGGGGTAAGATAGATTGCAATTTCATTTTTTCTAGTTTGGTAGTACTAATATTTTAGGTGCATTTGCAAGCGCTTTTGGCGATTATGAAATGTGTGTGAATGATTGAAAGGTATTTTGTGTTTAGGCAATAGGCAACCTGAATCATCACATCATGTCGGAAATATATTCCTAGCAATTGAAGGTTCAGAAATAGTTTGCATTTTTGTTTTGGAAGGCTTATAAATTGTTCAATTCGTTTCAACTCATGATCATTTGGTTATTGAGTATATAATTTCCCTGGTTATTAGTAGTATAATATGCCACACACACCCCCGAAAAAAAACCCCACAGGAATATGTTATTGAAGATTAGTGAACAGAAAATTACATTTTTAATCATGTAGTACCAAGTTATGAACAAAAATGTTATAATTATTTTACTAACAACGAAGATTAATTAAAGAAGAAACGTACCAGTACCTCCTTGAATTAATTAAGATTAAGTAGAGAAAAACTTTTTTTTTTGTTACAAGTAGAGAAAAGTTTTAAAATGACATTTATTTTTTGAAACGGGAGTACTAATTAAGTTGTATACATTTCAATTACTGACCTATAAAGGTTTACCAAAGTTAACTGTTAATTAGCATTTGGGCTCAAAGAACTTAACGAGATCGGCAAAGAAGTGCTTATCAAGTCAGCCATCCAGTCTATTCCGACGTATACAATGTTATGTTTTTGTATTTGGAGGAAATCTAAGGCATGATGGCTGATTTTCGGTGCTGATTTTCGGTGGGGAGAGAAAGACGGTTCTAAGAAAATGCATTGGATGTCTTGGAAAAAATTGGCAATCAGCATGCAGAAGGGTGGGCTCGGGTTTCGCAACTTGTACTCATTTAATCTCGCCATGCTTTGCAAAAAGTCCTGGCAGTTGATCACACATCCATCTTCGCTGTTCACTAGAGTTTTGAAAGCCAAATACTTTCCAAACTCCTCCATTTTTTATGCTGAGCTAGGAATCCTTCTTGGTCCTGGCGTAGCATTTTGGAGAGCAGAAAGGTACTTCAGCTGGGATGTTTAAAGAAGATTCGATCCCGGTAGCATTTTGGAGAGCAGAAAGGTACTCCAGCTGGGATGTTTAAAGAAGATTCGATTCCGAAACCAGACGAAGATTTGGCTTGGCCCTTGGATCCCCCGAGCTTCAGATTTCATGGTTCAGAGTCCATGTACGACCTCCATGCCGGATGCTCCAGTATCATCACTCCTTGACAGCACAACGGGCTCTTGGAATCTTGATCTTGTTCGGTCAACCTTCTCTTCTACAGAAGTTGACCTGATTTTCACAATGGTATCGGGAAGAGATGATCATCCAGATGTATGGAGTTGGTTTTTCACCAAAAGCAGGAAATTCACGGTACGTTCTACATATCATGCGATTCTGGAGGCTGAATTCTCCCCGATTACAAGCCCTGCAGTTCGTCCGTGACTGCAAATCCCCCACCACTTTGGAAACGTATCTAAAAGGTATAAATTCAGGGTCAATTGCACCATTTTTTGTGGTCAATGTGTAATGAAACGCCACCAACGGCGGAGAACTTGGAAAGACGACATCTATCTCAACCCAGTCTATGCGCAATTTGCAACAACCCAGACTTATCCACAAAGCACCTTTTTTTCGAATGCTCTTTTGCTTTGGCAGTATGGCGAATCGCAAGGCTAGACAGCTTGATCCAGCAACACCAGCAAGATAGAGGAAGCGAATGGACTCGAACCCTAATCCTCAAATTGGAGATTGCAGAAGTGGAACTTGTTGCTACTATGCTGAATTGTATATGGTTCAGGAGGAACAAGGCTTTGCATGAGAATGAGCTGATTACTCCAGCAGAAATAGTGTCAATGGCTGGCAGCATGAGACGTAATTTCTTGAAAGCCAATCTATGGCCAGAACGGACGTCGAATGCCCTCCAATCTCATCCAATCTTGGGGCGGATTCTTCACGGAATGAAAGTCTGGTTTGATGGGGCAATTTTCGGGCTACACAAATGTGCTAGAGTGGGCCTTTGGTGTGCCGATGCTGCAAGAAATTTTGTTGGAGGAATAACAAGAAAATTCCCAGGCATACAAGACTCGGGCATTGCTGAATCGTTGGCACTCAGAGAAGCATTATCCTTTACAAAAGATCACAAGCTAGTGAATTTCTCGATTATGGGCGATTCAATTAACACAATCTTGGCAGCCCTAGAAGACATTCAAGATCTCAATCAACTAACCCGGTGATGAAAGACATTCATATTTTGATTTATTTAACCTATTCATTAGGGATTTTTTTGATTAGACGACCAGAAAAAATAATAGCTCATGATTTTACATCTGTGGCCAAGAATAGTGATATTGAATGTTCTGTTTAGTCGCATATTCCTGCGACTTTTTGTCAAACGCAGCTGGACAATTTCCAGCAAAAGTGAATGAAATGAAAACCTTTTCTTTTTTTAAAAAAAATACTAGTATTATATTTGTCTCATAAAAAAAAGAAATAATTGCAACAAAACAAAAAACAGCGATGACAAAATTTGTCTTTCAAGATTTAAATATTCAAATTCGGATTGTCCACTAGCGATGAACCAAACTATTTACGAACATTTTGGAATTCGATCCACTCGAACACGGGTCAAATTCGATCCATTCGAACACTAATTGTTGGTTGTGCTAACCTGAAACTCTTCGTAATTAATCAGCTTGGTCAAAGCTAAATGGCTAGAATCTGGTCATATTCAAACCCGGACGGAATTTTTACCAATTTGATTATATCAATGAGTCGAGTACGGTGATTATCAAAATGCATGATACCAACTGTAATTCGTCGAATTAATAGTTATACTTCATTTTTTAAGTAAATTTTATCCTTAACCTGGAGCTCCTTTGTCTACTTTAATTTTCTTCCCCGCTGTTGACTTAGAATTCGTGCCCATAAATATACCTTAGCTGTTCTCAGTATGGTACTACATGAAATACTCCACCTCCATTTTCATATTCTTCACCAAATCCCCATGGCTTCTTAACTAACCACCATTATGTCTTCCCAATTTCCATTTTATATTTTAATAAACTCTTCATTTATTCTATCTATTACTAGTAGTGCTACATTTCTTGTATTCATCTTCCTATTAATCTTCTCAACTTCCAGATTAATCTTCACCGTTGTTACTCTCTTTGCAACTTTGTTTAATTTTCCAAACTCCAATTTTTTTTTTTTCCTGGTGCTCTCTTCATCTTTTTCACTTTCCCATTCATCATTTCGGGGTCTTCATTTTTATTGGTAAATACCTGAATTTTCTTTTGACAAAAAAAATGGACACTCAAAAGCTGATTCATGCATCACTGCTCAGAGATTGCTTAGTCTAAGGTAAATCGAGTATTACTCGTTGCATTATTATTATTATTATTTTGGAAAAGCATTGCATTGTTAATTATGGCTTCTTCTTCAATGACAAATATCTCTCTTTTTTTCCCTCTTTTTTTTGTTTATGTTTTTGTCTATGTTGCTCACTGAAGAATTGTTATTCCATTAATGGTATTTCTTGAACATGTGAATACGTGATACTTGATATAAGTAGCTGAACTGAAAAAAAAAAACACTATCGAACAGAAATGGGGAAATCAAAATGTAGCAAATTAGCACATTGTTATTCCATTCTTCATATCAATCTGTATACCTTCCGAGGTCACGAGTATGAACTTACATCACACGTTCAAAATAAACATTTGAATACTTAAATTTACATGAAATGCAAAAATAATTGCATAGCTTGGAATAACAAATTGGTCAAAAATGGTTACGATGGAAAATTTAATTTGGAGCCTGGAGGCCAAGCAGCCAAATTAACCTTGATGGTTTATATGAATAAAAAGCATCTTCGTCTTCCTGCTGAATCGGAGGAATGAATCTCAAGCAGGACAATTTAGAAAAAATGGAAATAGAATCAAAATGGTACAAAATGTAGATTAAAGTAGGAGAAGTTATCAACAATTGAATACATTGTAACATCCAACTCCATTAATATCGACCATTCGATCGTTGATATTTATCGAGCACTCAAGCTCGAGATAATCAAACCTCCAAGAGGTGTTGTTGTTGTTGTTGTTTTTTCTTTTCTTTTTTAATAAATTTTAATACAAACCAAGCTTGAATATTAAATATTTGGTTGAGGTCGACCTCGGATTTGATCTCTGAATTTCTTCATCCATTTCTCAATTTCGCATTCAACAAAAATTTGGCAATTTTCATGCTATTTCTTCGTCATCATCAAAGCTGGATTTGACCCTTTACCTTCTTCGTCATTAATTATGTTTTTGTGACGCTTTTGGAGAAACTTTCTGGCTAAATTGAGAATATGACTAGAGTTTTGCAGGAACTGAGCAAGAAGATAGCAAAATGGATGACCTAAACATAAAGAATTCATGCTTGAACCGTAAAGTCAAGAATGCTCTCAATTCTGCTCTTCAGGGCGATTCTACACATTATGAGGAACTTGTTGATTTGATTCATCATAGCCAGCGATCAAATCCGGTTAAGGCAGCTATGCTTGCGACATGTTTGAAGACAATAAGTTCCGCGGTTGCTTCTATTGATATTGTTCAGCATCGCTCTCTTCTTGAAGGTATTTTCTCAATGTGTCTGTGGAAGTTCAACACTTGTGTAATGGATGCTTTACTAGAGCTAATCATATCTTTAGCCTCATTTAGTGCAGTCCCTCTAGATTTGTGTTTGGAGATGATGGTTAGTAATTTCGTGCCGCCTGCCTATCTCTTAGAGTATTTGAATCGGCCACATTATGTCGAAAGGAAGAAAAAAGTATTCGATCGTGTTCATGCAAGTTTGGAAACCATATTTGATTTAGTTCCTCTTTCCGCTTTGAGTTTGGAAAGAATTGTTAGGGAGAGAATGCCATCCGTATATCATAGAGAACCCATAATCCTAATGTATGTTGAGAATATGCTGAGGTTGGAGAGTGGTACAATGGGAAAACTTGTTAGGAATTCAATGCTTATGGCAATAATGGTTAGGTTGATTGACTTGGATGTGGAGATACCTTGGGATGTTATACTACATGATGATTTCGTCAAAGGCGATTTTGGTGCTAATTCAATGGCTGAAAAGTTAGATAGTTTGATGGTTGTGACACTTGAGCATATTAAACTCTCAAGCGAAAGTGGTCGTTTACCTCTAGTTTTCGAGACCCTCCTCCAGTCATTCAAGAGCACAGTTTTGACAGCTTATAAATCAAAGTTTGCGCAGTTTGTGATCTTCTATGCTTGTTCTTTAGATCCTGAAAATTGTGGACAACAATTTGCAATCACTCTCTTAGAAATCTTTTTAGGCAACCCTTATTTACAATGTCGAATGAGCGCAGTTGCCTATCTTGCGAGTTACTTATCTCGCGCGATGTTTGTCTCTGATTCATTGGTGGTTTACATGTTGGAAAGATTAGTATATTGGTGCATTGAGTACTGCAAAAACCGAGATGGAGTTAGTAGTTCTAACCCAAGAGCACATCAAATGTTTTATGCTGGTTGTCAGGCATTTATGTATATTCTTTGCTTCCGATTCAGATCTTTGATTTTGGTTCCCCGTTTCAAATCAAAACTAGCTTTGTTGCGGGTAGGTGAGATTTTGAAGCATCCATTGAACCCATTGAAGGTATGCCTCCCATCCATTGTTGAAGAATTTCTCCGCGTAGTTAGATCCTCAGGCGTCTTCGCTGTGCCAGAGAACTCTCCAGCCTCCAGTGGGCTAGTAGAATCAGAACTTTCAAGGGCATTTGGTGGATCAGAAAGGCTTGACATGTTTTTCCCCTTTGATCCGTATTTGCTCAAGAAATCGGGGAGTCTCATTAGTCCGATTTTCGTGTACTGGTCGATGGTTGTTAGTCCTTACCATGAGCAAGAAGATGATGATGAAAAAGATAGCAGTGATGAAGATGAAGCTGATGTTTCTGTGGGTGGTGATAGAATGATGAGTTTTGATGACGATGATTTCGAAGTTGACGATGATTACTCTGACTAATCTTTAATTGTATCTTTTTTTTTTTTGTCCGTTCCTTCCAAACGTTTTTACATATTTCTATGTTACCTTTCAATTGGTGAACTATCTGAAGTTATTGGTTGTCAATGAGGCGAATCAAGCCCTGTTAGCTCAAGCTGGGGGCCTGAGCTTGAATTCGAAAAAAAATAAAATAATAAAAGTATGTTTTTCCATTTGAGCTCAATAGAATATAAGTCCGAATTCCTCAAAGAAAATTGCAAGTTACTCGTACTCTCTGCACAATATGTTAGACAATCAATTTTAAACGGAGGGAATAAAAAAAACAAGGAATAGAATCATATACAAAATGTTTGAGGATTAGTTAACTACCTTAAACTAAACAATATTAAAAGCATAGATGAAATATCATAACCTGTACGTGAGATTGCATTGCAAAAATATAAAATGTTCCAGATTCTACTCTGAATCTTTTGAGTGAAAACAAAACATATGAAGTCACAAGAAGACGGAGATGAAGAAAGTGAAGTGGTAAATTTAACACCTTTGTCTACTTCAAAGCTTTTACTATCTTTTAATATGGGAAGATTTCAAAAAATCATTACACGCAAGTATATTGACAACATTCAATCCAACTAGAGTGAACAAGCTTCCTGGATATCAAGCTAGAGGCAACATTCGATCAAGAATAAGTCACACGACATCGATCGAGCAATTCACATAATTAATTAGTTAATTGGAAATTAGAAGACATATGGCATTCACGTTCAAGATATAGATGATCATTAATTAAAGTACCAGAAACCTTATTCAATCAATCAATCAAAACACCAAAGGAAACTAAGTTTATGGCGAGACGACTCACTCGATAAGGTAAAGACAATGAATCTTAGGGTGTGTTCGGCTACTTGCTTTTGGGATTCAATTGGCATTAGAATATTTTTGAATTCAATTGACATTCAAGATATTCTAATTCAATGCCAATTTATCCGTTCGGCAAAATCATGAAATTGGTCACAAATTCAATTGGGATTCCAAATTCTCTGTTCGTATAGTCTAGTAGTTGAGTTGGTTTTAGTTTTTGCTTATTTTTTACAAAAATAAAGAAAAAAAATTAATTGATTTTGAAATTATTTCAACTTTTAATTTTTATTATGTTAAATAGTATCATTCCGACAATGAGCCTCTAGAGCGCTGAACAAAATTTAGATGAAGTCAGATAAAAGTAAATTTGCATCCACTCTTCTGATTCTACCTTCTCTCTGACTGTCTGTATTTCACAACCCTAAACCAATCAGAAAATTTGCTTGTTTCCTCACCCATTTCCATCTCTCTGCCACCAAAGTATTATATAAGTTGCATCATCAATTGTTTGTGCACATTCATCTTTATGTTCTCAAGTTATGCGTGCGTGTTTACTTAACTGCTACACGTTATGCTATTCATCAATGGAAGTGGTTTGACGTGGTTGCTTACTTAGGAGTAATAGATTGGACAAACAAAATAGGCAGTTAGAAAAGTGATTCACATATGTCACAACAACCTAGCTAATTGGAAACTTTTTGGCATTGAGCCAATGTCAATGCCATCTTTATTTTTGGACAGCTGAACATCGGATTTAGCATTGAAGGCCCAAATTTCAAATCCAACACCCCAATGCCATGCAAACGAACAGAGCCTTACCTTCACAAATAGAGACATGCATTGTCAATTATTCTAATATTGCTCTTATGTTAAAAATTGTAACTGTGTTTAATATAAAATTATACTATTAGACCTAAATATAATCGGGACAACAATTGTATTAAAAGTAAATGAAAGTATTATACTCCTTCCGTCCCATAATTATTGTCCAGTTTTACTAAAATGAAATTTTTTATTTTTGGTCAAACTTAATTATATTTTACCTTAAATAACCGGATATACCCTTACATAAGTAATTGTTTAACCACTAAGATTTTATAGATAATGTTTTTTACTAAGGACAGATGTGTAACTTGATCCATAAAAAGTCAAATTGGACAATAATTTTGGGACAAATTTTTTTAGGCAAAGTGGACAATAATTATGGGACGGAGGGAGTAATATTTTTAACAAAATAATTTTTGTCCCTTTAATTTTCTAAGATCTCTCAAGCAATATCTATTTATGAATGGAGGGAGTAATCTATATTATTAGTATATATGGTAACGAAATGATATTAATTTGCAAAGTAGTTTGTGATTAAAATTTGGTTCTTTTCATATTTTATCAACCTAAACAATGTTGACTTTCTTGGTACTTGTTATTATGCTATAGTATCAAATAAAAATCAAGCTTATGGTCCAGTTTATTTTTTGTGGGGACCATGGAACAAATTTTACACTTTAACCTAATAATTTTGAGAACAAATCACAATTTAATTCCTATTCTTATTTCTGAAATACTCCACACTTTTTATATTCTTCATCCTATCTTTTCAAAATTCCGATTTACTTTTTAAACTCCTTAATTAGTTATTCCATATATATAACTTCTTGCTTTATCTTCCGTTTAATCTCGTCAAGCTAATTAATTTTCACCTGTCTCTCTCTCTATTGGGCTCCAATATCTTCTTCATTACCTTTTTTTTTTGGGAGATCTCTTCATCTTTTTAACTTTCCCATTTAGCTTAAACATTTTACTTTTTTGGCAACTCCCTAAATTTTCTTTCCTCAAAGAAATGGGAGCACAATAGCTGATTTTCTTGTGGGTGGTAATAGAATGATGATTGCTGATGATGAAGATTTCGGACTTGATGATTACGATTCTGACTAACAAATCTTTAAACCCAATCAGTTGAGTACTTCGTTAATCGAGTTTTTCTTTATATATATATATATATATATATATATATATTTACTTTTTTTCCTTCAGAAAAAAGTTTCACCATTGCATCTAACCTTTCAATTCCATTATCCAAGGTTTTATAAGCAGGGTTGTCAGCGAGCCGATTCAAGACCGATCAGTTGGATCCATCCATGATCTTGACTTCGTAAAAAATAAAAATCAATATTTGTGCTTGTGTTCGTGTTCACGCTCGATTTGATAACTGATTCAAAGTTTAGCAGTCTTAGCTCTTAGAAAAAAAATAAGTTACTTATGACTACTCAATATTTAATGCTAATGCTCGATTAAAAATTGAGTTGGATAGGGGAACACTTGACATTTTGCCGCATGCTACTTCAACGCATAACTTATATACAAAAGACGTTAAGCATATATTCATTTTCTTTAAGAACCTATTATAGATTTTTTTTTTAATGATTAGTACGTTTTGTTTGATTCACAAAGTTTATAATGGTCACACTTTAGTGTTTAGTCTCACGATGTAGGTTTTATTGATCCATTTTGGGCGCTTTCAACGGTTACCGTTCCGCCGGTGGAGGTACGGGAATGGTTTTAACATGACATTGTCAGGGTTTCATACCCAAAACAAGTTTTAATCTGTTGTAACTTATAATTAGGCTACGATCTCTCTTTTTTTTTGGTAAAACTGTTAATCTTTGTATTACTCTTCAATCAATAACTGAAACTATACAATTTTCCTATTTATTACATCTGCAAGAGGCTCGTACATGAATACCAATCTGAGCTAGCCATTTTTTATCCTTACTTTTTACTTTCCTACATTTAGATTGAATGCTCCATTTCACTGTCCTTTTTATGTCTTCTAATCTCACCTCTGCCTTCATCTCTTTCTGTCCGAATCTGCGTCCATTTCTTTCCCTTCATACACCATAGATGATAGCATTAATGCCAGCAAACAACACCTTCTGTCTCAGAGCATTTCCTTTCCATATTCTCAGCCACCTTTGCACATTCAGTTCTGTGATGACATTCCTGATTCCCATCCAAGTCTTCAAACCCTTCAACAGATCGTGTGCATAATCACATTTAAAGAATAGATGATCTACACTGTCCAGTTCTTTCCTACATAGACTGCATTCTTTGTGATCCACTGGTATGTGCAGGTCCTGCAGTCTCTGTGCTATGATCAGTCTCTTTTTCCAAGCTAACCAGCTAATAAAGCTGTGCTTAGGTATACTAAACTGACTCCAATTGAACTTGGCTACTTTGCTTTTACTCCTTTCTCCTCTGATCCAGTAATATCCCCCCTGTGCAGTGCAAGTTTTGCCACTTTTCCCTAACCATTGGCCCTGATCAATGCCATTGTGAAGTAATTCCTTGATCCTCATCAGTTTTTTCATATGCCAACTACTGTCATGTGGACATTTGAAGCTCCATAAATCCCTTCCTTTCAGATAAAAGCTGTGCATCCATTTCACCCATAAGCTTTCTTTGTTTTTAGACAGATCCCACAACTGCTTTCCCAGTAAAGCAATATTCCAGCATCTTGGTTCCTTGAAGTTCAGGCCTCCTTCGATTTTCCGGCAACATAAATCATCCCAAGAAATCAATGACCAGCTCTTACCATTTTCTTTTGTCCCCCAGAGGAATCTCCTGCACTTGCATACTACCTGTTGTATGACACTTTGTGGGATAAGAAATATATTTGCCCAGTAAGAGTTAATACTCAGCAAGACTGAGTTAACTAGAGCTGTTCTCCCTGCATAGGAGAGGTGTCTTGAACTCCAACAGTTGATTCTTGCAACAATCTTGTCCACCAGAGTTTGACACTCTACTTTTGACCATGCTGTGGGAGATATTGGCAAGCCAAGATATTTCAGTGGAAAACTAGCTTCTTCAAATCCAATAATCTGCTTTATCTCCTCCTCTACTTCGCCTATTTTCCCACCAAAGTCTATATTGGACTTTGTCAGATTAACAGAAAGTCCAGTGGTTTCCTCAAACTGTGATAATACTCCTTTAATCCTTCTAACTGTTTCAACATCAGCTCCACAAAAGATTAATAGGTCATCGGCAAAGCATAGAGATATTATCTTTTGTTTTTCACAGTAAGGATGGAACTTAAAGTCCTGTTTCTCAGCTTCTAGCTTCAAGAGTCTAGTAAGATATTCCATTACCATTACAAATGGCAATGGTGACAACGGATCACCTTGTCTCAATCCTCTTTTCCCTTGAAAATATCCAGTGGTACTACCATTCAAATTCAATGAGTATGACATGGTTGTCACACATTCTATTATCCAGTGCCTTACTTTATTTGGAAACCCATATTCTTTCAGCATCTCATCAACAAAGTCCCAGTGTATAGAGTCAAAAGCCTTTCGGAGATCAACCTTCATAACACAGCTTGGAACTGCATTCTGTCTTCTATATAATCTGAGCAGCTCCTGTGCAAGTAAAATGTTGTGCAGGATGAGTCTGTTCTAAATGAAAGCACCCTGATTAAGATCAATCAATTCTGGAAGAATGAGGCTAATCCTTTTACACAGCATCTTTGAAATGCACTTATAGACTGTATTGCAACATGAAATTTGCCTGAAATCTGCTACATTCTGAGGTGAATCAGTTTTTGGGATTAAGGATATCAGGGTGGCATTAGTCTGTTTTAACATGGCACCAGTTTTGAAGAATTCCAGCACAGCATCAGTTACTTCCTTTCCACTATATGCCACATTCTTTTGTAAAATCCACTACTGAAGCCATCTGGTCCTGCACTTTTATTAGGATTAATCTCAAACATAGCAGATTTAACATTAGCATCTGTGAAAGTTTCAGTTAGGAGAATCTGTTGATAGATGCTCAACTTGAGCCCTGAATTGAATACTTCCCATCTTGCTGGTGTTCTCTCAGTATTTGTTCCTAACAACTTCATGTAATACTGAATAAAGTGCTCCTCTACCTCCTTCCAATCTTCTACCAACTCCCCTTGACAGTTGATAAAAGATCTGATTTTGTTTCTGTTGAGTCTCTGTTAGATGCTGGCATGAAAATATTTAGTATTTAAATCCCCCTCCTGTATCCACCTTTCTTTTAACTTTTGACTCCAAAAACTGGAAGCTGCTTTGCTAAATTCAGTATATATTCTAATAGTATTCTGTTCTTCTGCTTGCCATTCTTCATTTTGAGGTTCATCCATTAGCTTTTTCTGAACTTCTTCTAATTTCAGTCTCCATTCCAACTCTATGCTATCAATGCTTTCATAGTGCTTTTTGTTTAATGCTTTGAGCTTAGGTTTCAACCTTTTCTGTTTAAGCATTAGGCAGAATTGTTTACTACCTTGAGCTTTCATCTGCCAGCTTTCCTTGATGATTTCTTCAAATTCTGAGTGGTCCATCCACATATTGAAGAACTTAAATGATCTTTTGTCTGTGTGTCTTTCTTCACCCCATTTCAGTACCAAGGGATTGTGGTCAGATATCCCTGCTGGCAAGATGTTAACATAACTCTTTGAGAATGCTGTTAGCCATTTACCATTTACAAGGATTCTGTCCAATTTTGCTAATACCCTCATCTTTCCCAACTGTTTGTTGGACCATGTAAATTCACCACTATATGTACTAATCTGCCACAATTCACATTGATCTATCATGTCTTGATACTGACCCAAATCTGAGCTAACTTCATCTCTTCCACCAAGTTTTTCCTCAGTATTCAAAATGCAATTATAATCCCCCATCATCATCCATGCTTTATTCATCCCTTGAGATAGATTTATCAGTTAGTGCCACAGCTGAGCTCTGCCTTGTACAGTGTGATTTGCATATACTACTGTAATATAGTACTCTTTATTCTGTTCTTGTATCTTACAGTGAATAAATTGTTGCTCCATCTTTTCTATTGGTACATGATATTCTCCTTTCTTCCATATGAGCAATATTCTGCCCTTTTCTTTATTCCCATGATTGTTGACATAATCATACTGAGACCATTTTCTAGTCATCAATTCCCTTACCTTATCTCCATTTAATTTTGTTTCCAGAAGACCAGCAACTCCTACATTATTTACATAGAGACATTAGTAATTTCTCTATATTTTAGAGGACTGTTAAGTCCTCTTATATTCCATGAGATGATGTTATTCATGAGTCCTAGGCCCTTCAGAAGGGTGACTAGTATCCTGATAACATATCTCATTCACAGATTTCATTCTATCCACTATTCTTCCTTCATCTATTCTGATTCCTTTATTGTTCAGAATTTGAACTCCCTTCTCATTTGAACTGACCATTTCTGTCTGTATTTTACCAATAGTTTGCTTCCCTGCTTTTGCAAAAACACTAGCTGTTGCAGCCTCTTTTTGTGCCTCTTTGGCTTTTTCCTTCAATTTGTTAACCTCATGATTTTGTTGCACCACCTTCTGTGTATTGGCATCCAATTGTTGGTTGTTCTGTGACTGATCATCTAGCTTCTGTTTCCAATCCTTCTTCACAGGAACTCTAGATACTTCAATTTCATGGCCAAATCCTTTACAGTTATTGCACTTTAGTGGTTTCCATTCATATTTGATCAACTGCTCCTGAAATTCACCCTTCTCATTTTTATACCAAACGACTTCCTTAAGTTTGTCCTTGATCTCGATTTCAATAAGAATCCGAGCATAACTTGCCCTCAGATTTTGAGACGTCATGTCATCCGTCTCTAGAGGAGTTCCCAATACACTTGTTATTCTGCTTAGTGAGGTAGCATTCCAGTACCTTAATGGCAGTTTTGGAAGTTGAATCCATACTGGAACTTTCCTGATCTCATCCATGTTAATCTCTTCTTCTACATTCCAATCTTTGATGATGAAAGGATGTCCATCAAAATGATATATATTGTGCTTCAGCACCTCTTCCTTAACAGTAATTGACTTAAATCTTACCACATATATCCCATTATCAAGCAGCAGGTTCTTATCAACTCCAATTTTTCCCCAATTCCTTCTAACATAGCCATTAATCACTGCAAATCGAGGATTAGCTCCCAGTACATAACATAAGACAGACGATCTCCAATAATCCACTTCACTTTGAATTTCTTCATTGGTTATGCTCCCTATACAACGATGCTTCACAACTTTAGGTTCAATGAATCTGAGTTTCTTCTCAGCTGGCTTCAGTTTTTGTGCATCAAAGGAATTCCAGACGTTTACACTGTTTGACTCATCCCTTTTCATGATTTCGGCTGATTTAACAACATCAGAGCATTCTCCGACTTCAATAACACGGTGTTTACACAGATTTTCTAGCATCAAATGCGATTCATACACTGTATTTATTGCAGATCTAGGTTTTGTTACCTCAATAGAGCTGATAGGAATCGGCGTGAATTCCCCCATTGGATGCTTTTTCTCCTCCTGTGATTGTTCCTTAGTAGTAATTGAGCTCGCCTCTCCTTGCTTCTTGCTCTTCCGTACCATCGCAGACGATTTCTCGCCGGAGAAGAACGAGGCGGTTACACACACTAAAAGTGTAATCGCCCACAGTGAGAGAGAGTCTTTTTTAAGTAACAATGCTAAACTCTTCGGTTGAGCAGCTTTTGTCTTACGGCCTCTCTTATTGTACTAAAAAAAAAAATGTTTCGATCATTACGTTTCAGACTGAATTCGATATGCCGCCTTCTTTCACTCTATCTAAAAGGTTTCTGGAGGGATTATGATCAAATTCACGTACTAATAATGACAAAATCTATTTTTCTCTCTCGCCTATGGAATTTGGATGGCTTAGAGAGCACAACTCTGAACAACTTACCATGCAATTTACTAAATATATGAGGCCAAACAGATCAAGTACTCCAAACCACATTGAATTCAAATCCATGACATTTGTCAATAGCGAATTATCACCGTCAGATAAATGTTCGAAAAGACTAAATAAACATAAAAATACATTTGCAAGGGGAACTCCAAGGCAGAAACAAAACAAAATGCATCAAGAAGCAAAGCATATATATCTTCTCGACTCCGGAAACCCTAAAAACCGTACGGCCTGGATCCAAGCACCATCAAAGGCAGCGAATTAACAACATTAGCCCAAGCTGCCTCCGCCGTTTTGACCACCAAAGTTGACTGCTTGAAGGATGACTTCTCAGATACAAGGGTATCACGCAAATTATTAAGCTCTTGGAGGATTTGCTGAAATTCCTGAGTTTTGGATTGAGAAAAACCCTCCAGCTGGTGAATTTGATCGTCCGAATAAAATGCACATTTCTTGTGTAAAGAAAGATTCTTGTTTTTTTTTTTTTTTCCTTTCTTTTTCAGTGATTTCAATGATTGACAGTATCACATATCAGACAGAAATGGACAGCGAAATCAGTAAAGCTACAATTCCATCCAAGTTGAAATGAAAAAGTAGCCTACAGAGATACAAAAGACATAAATATGAGGATGATGAACAAGAAGATTATGACCTTGAAAGATGATCTTCTTTGAAGACCTTTTGGCAGCAATATCCCTAGCTTCCATGCTCCACGGCCCTTCCTTTTCAAATCCATTACAGTTGAAAATCACCACGTCAAACCCCAAGTTTCCATTATGACTGAAAACTAGGAAATCTCCAGTACCCAAAAGGTTGTCCTTTGCAAATTCATACCAACCATCTCTAAAGTGGTGGCCTTGGATTTTCACCAACCACTCCTTCCCATCCTTTTTCAACACAGCATAGCTGTTCAGCTCCAAGCACTCTGAGAACAAATCAGGAATTTCCTGCACAATATAACATTGGTACCCTGATGAGATTGTTATTATCTTATACTACTATATTTAACATCAGAACAAATCAGGAATTTCCTGCACAATATAACATTGGTACCCTGATGAGATTGTTATTATCTTATACTACTATATTTAACATCATTAATAGTATATTTAAAAAAAAGGGTATAAATTGTATCAACCTCTATCTCAATTTTACAGATAAATTTTTTTGCTTCAGAGGAAAGAAAAATGGTAAAGATGATCATCATTAGTACTATACACAAAGATGATTTAATTTGTATCAGCCTCTCTATTTTACAGATCAACTTATTCATTACAAGAAAAACAAAATGACCTATATTTTAAAGAATCATATTATAGAATGGGATAGAGAGGGAGAGATGTTGTCGACTTACAATGTCTTTGGTAAAGCCAATAGAAATATGCTTCAAGAATCGAGTTCCTTTCGGTGAAACTTCCATGGCAGCCCTGTTGCAGTTCAAAAGGGTACTAATATATGGTCTCCCAGAATTATCTCAGTTAAAGGCACTCAAGAAAAAATTTAGTATTGAGGTGGTTTGATGCAGCCATTCGGCTTCCTGTCAACCTTGGAACCACTAGTGAATTAATTAAGCATTGGCAGAACCCAAAGCATCTGAATTAGCTGTACTCTTTGACTCTTTTTTTTTTTTAGTGTTTTTAATAGTAATTTATTCCAAACTCATATTAGTTCCATTCCAATTATTAATAATTTATGTAGTACTACATATTATTATCTTGGACTAGTTTTGCACTGTGATTATCATTTTATACACACTATATGATCATCATTATTATTTTCTTTTGTTAGAAAATGCGATCGAGGGATGAACCAAATCATGTCTTGTGCAATTGAGTAAAAATGCAATGATTACAGTTTTTGTTAGAATAGTTACTTTTTGAAAGAAACTTATCATTTTCGAATATAAATTAGTCGTGATAGTATTGATATGCTTATATTTTACCTATTTATTATATTCTTAATTTGTAATTTTTGCAATATATTTGGAGTATAAATGTGCTATTTATGTGATTTTATCTTTAATTGTAGGAATTGTACTTAAATGGAGGAATTGTTGCAATTTTGGGCTAAAATGAAGATAAAAGTAACTCAAAGAAAGAAATTGAAATACTTGAAGAATTGGAGGATTAAACAAGCAATTTTAGAATTTTTGCTTATGGAAATTGGCCGAGAGCTTAAGGTTGTGCGACTGATTTGAGTTGGAATTGGGTAAGAATTTTAATCCCAATATTATTTGGGAAACAAGTTTTCTTCCTCTCCAAGAAGTAGGGTTTTGACGGAAACCTATAAAAAGAGGATTAGGGATTTATTTTTATAACGGAACTGGACCGAAAACTCACCGAAACCCTTACGGCTGAAAATTCTCCCCCGCCGACCTCCATCTTCACCACCTCAAACACCACCTTGCCTCCCTGCCACTTCACGCCGACCACAAGCTTCACACCTTGTTTCCTCATCATCATCCCCCATCACTGCCGCTCCACCTTCCTTTGCTCACCACCGAACCAAAAATCCCAGCCCCCCAACTCCACCTACCTTGCTTCTCCTCCATTCCCACGCAGCAGCAGCCATCACCACCTTGCTTCCTTCTTCATCATCCACGAATTCCAGCACCACCAGACCTTGAGCTCAAGCCATCGCCGGAGAAGAGAGAGTGGAAGCAGGCAGCAGCCGCAAGGGCTTAAAGCCGTAGCCGAGGAGGAGAAAAACTCGTGCAAATTCGAAACTAGCAAAACCGGGCAGCTCTTCGGCGGTTCTTGCCTTCATCCGGGTGTTTCTTCTTTAATTATTTAATTCAGATTTTTATGATTATGTATCTAAATATTATTGGATTATTTTTTATAACATTTAGTGGCTAAATTCTTTTAACCTAGGGCTTGGATGTAGCCGCTGGATTTATTTGGTTTATTTGGTTCATTATTATTTGATTTTTCCATTGATCAATATTTAATATTCTTGTTTTTATTCCATGTTTGTAACTTGCCACTACTTGCATGTTTAAAGATATTAATTGATGGAACGACAGTTAAAAATTAATATTAGTTCATGGGAATATTGGGCTTAGGTAGTGAACCACGACAGTAGGAACACAACCTTTGCAATGTTTGATTTTTAATGGGTCTTGATGTGCTTTTGTTTAATCCCCACGAGAGTAGTCATAGGGTTAATCTAAGTAAGAGAATTATAACACGAGAGTGTATAGTTCTTAATTAGGTGAATCGTTGTGAGATCAATAGAAGTTAAAAATTAGATATTTCTGAATTGGTTCAAATCAAATATTCGGTAGGTGAATCCAATATCCTAAGTTTTCTTTGTCTGATTATTTGAATTAATATTATTTGCTTTTATTTTATTTATTTATTTTAGTTTTAAATTTTATAAATCTGATATCATCATTTATCTAGATAATAATATGAGTAATTTATACCTGGTAATTAGTATTCATTTTCTGTGGGTACGACCTTATTTTCCGCTATCCTAGTGTTAAGTAGGTGAATTTATTTGACTAGTTGTGATGACGGATTGTCAAGTAAATTTCAACACCACGTGTATAATCAATATAATCAATTGAAATCAACTTAGAGCACAAACAAACATTACAATATATTTTAATGGATTCAGGTTAATCAATTCCTGTAAAGCTAAGCTTAAAGTCTTGAAATTAACCGTATGAGTAACTATGTCTTTTGCATTTGGTAGAAACTACTACATGTTGTTAATTCCATACCAATTGCTAAAGAAAAAGGACAAAATTTTGATTTCATTAAGTTCTTTCTACGTACTCTTTTTGGTTCATAACCTAAAAACCAAAAAAATTATAAACAAAAAAAAACCGTTAAAAATTAAGGATGCTATGTACTATATATATTTCCTCTGTACTAAAAAAAAAATTTACATAGTACAAATCACAAGATTTAATGTGTAACCTTTTTCTTTTTTTTTTTAATAAAGAGGGCAGTATTTTATTAGAAAGAAAAATGGAAAACAAAAGGAAAATATGGTGGGTTCTGGGCAGATCAAAACAGATGAATAAACCACTTCTAAATGTTTTCAGTACTTTGACATTTGGGTAAAAGTTTAATTGTCCAGTGTCAAGGGACGTTGTATAGTCCATCTTAAATGTTCAACTTCGCATTGTCGTTCGGGTGGATGAGGGGGTTAGATAGAACAGTTAGGTGTTAAAAGAATAATTTTACTCTTTCACATGCCATTTTCAAAAAAATTTCCCTAAATACTAATGACATAGTAATGCATGTAACGTGATTCAAAGAGGTGCTACAAACCAACATAGAAACTGGAAAAAGCCTATAAGGAAATCTGCTACTAACATTTGCACCTCATTCCTTGTTAAAATGACTCCTGTACTAATTCCCAAGAACCAAAATGTCCTTTGAATTTCAGAATAATGCTTGATTGTTGAACTATTCAAAATCCTGATAGAAAACATAGAACAGTTACAAGTTATGACTTTCATTTGCTCAACCGAGACAAACTGGCTTGTGGTTAATATTGTTCACTTTACCTGTCGACCGACATGCTTACATTTTAAACAGACTCATGCTTCACCTGTTATATAAATTAAATCATTTCTTGGGTAATGAAAATGAATAGAAGTTGAAGTGGAGACTGTTCAAGTATCTTCACATCAATAGGTTCATTCTATATGCTACAAACTGAACAGCTAAGGGGTTTAAATATTTTTTCAATGGAACAACTAAGTGGTTGAAGCTATACTATTTTACAAGCAGATAGATTACTATGTTCTCTTGGGGATTGATAACCAGAACAATAAAATCTGAGACAAAATACTGTTGGGCCTGTTCCCCTCACTTGGGCCCAGCGGAGTATGAAACCAAAAGCTAATTTGGTTTTCTCTTTGTTTTTTGACCGGGAAAAATAAACCTTGGGTTTTGGTTCTGGTTTTTTATGCTTATAAAAGAAAGGTTGCACACAACCTTTTGGGTATGTTTTTTAGCTGAGAGAGAAGGAGAATTAGGGCAGCAGCGCAAGGGTTTTGTGCGAGAGAAAAAGAAAGAAAACTACGATTTAGTTTTCGGTTTAACTCTCTTTTGGTTAGATCCTTCCAATCCTACTCTGTGATAGGTGTTTTGAAAGAGTATTGTTATAATCCACCTTTAGGTGAAGTCATGTGTATCCACCTGTTGGTAAAGACTGTTTTTCCATTATTGTGATAGTGCAGATTTGGCTGTTGTTACAGTCCCGTGGTTTTTTCCGATTTGGGTTTTCACGTAAATTTGTGTGTCTACTTTACTTTATCATTTCTTGAATTAGTTACTTGTTTGGTTGGTTGTCCTATTTTATTGGTAGTAGGAAAGGAGTTCTTCTTGGAATCGTTTCCGCTGGTTGTTGCGTTTATACCTTTTTCGCCACAGCAGTGGTATCAGAGCTACGGTTCGGTAGTTGAGGATACCAATAAAATGGAAGAGTCATCGGGTGCTGGTACGATGAGTAAATTAACTTCATCCAATTATCAAATGTGGAAACCTAGAATGGAAGACTTGTTGTATTGCAAAGATTTGTTTGATCCTGTTCTAGGGGATGAAGGTAGGCCAAGTGATATGACTGCTGGGCTGATATGCACAGGAAGACTGTTGGTAATATTCGACAGTGGATTGATCAAAGTGTGTTTCATCACTTTTCGGGAGAAACAAAAGCCGATGAACTTTGGGAGAAAATCCAGAATATGTACTGGAAGAAGTCCGGCATCAATAAGTCATCTGCGCTGAAACAGATTACCAGGTTGAGGTACAAAGATGGTGCTAGCATGAATGAGCACTTGAGTTCGTTTCAGGGTTTGTTGAACCAAGCTATGAATGTAGGTTTAAAGTTGGATGATGAGGTGCAGGCTTTGTTATTGTTTAGTTCTCTTCCAGACAGTTGGGACACTTTGGTAGTGTCAATCAGTAATTCAACCCAAGATGGTGTCTTGATCTTGGATCAGGTCAAAAAGGTTTTGATAAATGAAGAAGTCAGAAGAAAAGAGCAGAGTATTGAGTCTGAGTCGCAGGCTCTGGTGACAGAAAAGTCAGACATAAGTGGGAGAAATAAAAGCAGAGGGTCACGTGATCAGAATGACAAGTCCAGGGGACGGTCTAAATCCAAGAAAGATGTCATGTGCTACCATTGTCAAGGGAATGGGCACTTTAAGAGGGAGTGCAGGGTTCTCAAGAGAGAACTAGCAGCGGGAAAAGGTAAAGGCAAGAAGGATGAATCACGTGATGATGACACTACTGCAGTAGTAACTACCAGTGATGTATTTGTGTACTGTGATGATGATACAATTAATGTTGTGAGTCACGACAGTGATTGTTTTGGTGATTCGGGTGCGTCTTATCATGTGATACCTCACAGATACTTCTTTACCTCTTACACACCTAGAGATTTTGGTCGTGTAAGAATGGGCAACCAAGCCTCATGCGATGTTGTCGGCATGGGAGAGGTATCATTGGTAACGAATACAGGTTGTACTCTTGTCTTGAAGAATGTCAGACATGTTCCTGATATGCGTCTGAACCTTATTTCCGTTGGTAAACTTGATGGTGAGGTTTATTATAGCACTGCAGGTGGTGGCCGTTGGACAATTATCAGAGGGAATCTTGTTATTGCTAGAGGAAAGAAGTTGAATTCTTTGTATTTTTTGAATGCAAAGTTAAAGAATGGAGAGGTGAATGCGACTCACAATGCCTCCATTGATCTCTGGCACAGAAAGCTTGGACACATGAGTGTTAAGGGGTTGCAGATTCTTGGTAAGAAGCAATTTCTCCCAGAGGTGAAAAGTACATCTCTAGAACCTTGTATTGACTGTATCTATGGTAAACAACATAGGGTTTCCTTTCAAAATTTTCCTCCATCTAGAAAGTCCAGTCCTCTAGAGTTAGTTCATACAGATGTATGTTACATGAAAGATTGGTCGTTGGGTAGTGCATTGTACTTTGTTACTTTCATTAATTATACTCGAAAGGTTTGGTGTTTTTCTTTGAAATCTAAAGACCAGGTATTAGATTTGTTCAAAGACTTTCACCTTAGAGTTAAAAGAGAGACTAGCAAGAAGTTGAAGTGTGTTCGAGCAGATAATGGTGGTGAGTACAGGGGTCCGTTTGAGAAGTATTTCCGAGACCATGGCATTAAACTTCAGAAGCGTGTTCCGAAGACTCCGCAGCAGAATGGCGTGGCAGAAAGAATGAATAGAACTATTACCGAAAAGGTTAGTTGTATGCTCTCGAATGCAAAGCTGCCTAAATCTTTTTGGGGTAAAGCCATGCAGACAGCAGTTGATTTGATCAGCCTATCTTCCTCAGTTCCGTTGCACGGTGATCTACCACAATGAGTTTGGACAGTGAAAGATGTCTCATTTAGGCATTTGCGAGTTTTTGGTTGTCGTGCCTTTGTTCATATTCCCAATGATGAAAGGCCGAAGCTTGATGGCAAATCCAAGTAGTGTGTATTCTTGGGGTATAGAAATGATGATTTTGGATACAGACTTTGGGATCCTGTAGAGAAGAAAGTTTTCAGAAGCAGAGATGTGATCTTCTTTGAAGACCAGACCATTGATGATATGGGAAAAGGCGAGATACCAGAATCTTCACCTGAGATTCATGTTGACCTAGATCCAGTTTCTCCACAATCAGATGATTCTCCTGAAGGGGGAGCTGAGACAAAGTAGGATAGTGAGTTTGATGATGATCCTGTTACTGAAACATAGACACCACCGATTTCATCACCTCTTGTTCAGCCTAGGAGGTTCACCAGAGACAAGAGACCTTCCACCAGGTACAGTGCTCATGAGTATTTGTTGCTTACTAATGGGGGAGAGCCAGAGTCGTATGAAGAGGTTCTTAGTCATGAGCAGAAAGATCAGTGGTTAGCAACCATGCAAGATGAGATCAAATCCTAGCATGAGAATAACACGTATGACCTGGTGAAGCTGCCTAAGGGTAAGAGAGCACTCAAGAATAAATGAGTGTTTAGACTGAAAAGAAGTGAGATCAGCTCATAATCGAGATACAAAGCCAGATTGGTTGTGAAGGGATTCAATCAGAGAAAAGGAGACTTTGATGAGATATTCTCTCCTGTTGTAAAGATGTCTTCAATCCGAGTTGTGCTTGGAATAGTGAACAGCTTGAATTTTGAGATTGAACAGCTTGATGTGAAGACAGCTTTCTTGCATGGTGATTTGGAAGAAGAGATTTACATGGAGCAACCAGATGAGTTTCAGGAGAAGGGGAAAGAGAAGCTTGTATGTCGTCTCAACAAAAGCTTGTATGGGTTGAAGCAAGCTCCGAGGCAATGGTACAAGAAGTTTGATGTCTTTATGATAGGGCAGGGATACCAAAGGACTACAGCTGATCATTGTGTGTTTGTGAAGAAATTCTCTGATGGTGATTTTATAATTCTTTTGCTTTATGTCAATGACATATTGATTGTTGGTCATGATACTGCAAAGATTGCCAGGTTGAAAAAGGAGTTGAATAAATCCTTTGCGATGAAGGATTTGGGTCCGGCTAGACAGATCCTTGGGATGAAGATTTCTCGTGACAGACAGAATGGGAAACTTTGGGTATCTCACGAGAAGTATATCGAGAAGGTTCTTGATAGATTTAACATGAGCGGTGCTAAGGAAGTCTCGACTCCACTTGCCGGACATTTTAAGCTAAGCAAAACGCAGTGTCCTAAAAGTGAGAAAGATAAGGAAGAGATGAAAAATGTTCCTTATGCTTCGGCAGTTGGCCGCCTGATGTATGCGATGGTTTGCACAAGGCCAGACATAGCTCATACAGTTGGTGTTGTTAGTCGGTTTCTCTCCAACCCTGGTAAGGAGCATTGGAATGCTGTGAAATGGATTCTCAGGTATCTTAGGGGTACTTCCAGATTGAGTATTTGCTTTGGCAATGAGAAGACCATGTTGGATGGATATACAGATGCTGACATGGCGGGTGACCTTGATGGTCGGAAGTCTACTTCTGGATACTTGATGACTTATGGAGGGGGAGCAGTTTCATGGCAGAGTAGGTTGCAGAAGTGTGTTGCTTTGTCTACTACAGAGGCAGAGTTTATCGCAGTTACTGAATCTTGTAAGGAAACACTTTGGTTGCAGAAGTTTCTACAAGAGCTTGGCATGAAGCAAGAGAGGTATGTGGTGCTTTTTGATAGCCAGAGCGCTATTCACTTAGCGAAAAATTCCACATCTCATTTGCGGTCAAACATATTGATGTGAGATATCATTGGATTCGATATGTGTTAGAGTCCCAAGGCGTTGTTTCTTGAGAAGATCCATACGGATGACAACAGTGCCGATATGTTGACGAAGACTGTGAGTAGAGACAAGCTCCTGTTTTGCAGACAGGAAGCGGGTTTGGTTTTACCCCGCAATTGAGGTGAAGGGGGAGATTGTTGGGCCTGTTCCCCTCACTTGGGCCCAGTGGAGTATGAAACCAAAAGCTAATTTGGTTTTGGCTTTGTTTTTTGACCGGAAAAAATAAACCTAATTTAATTGGGTTTTGGTTCTGGTTTTTTATGCTTATAAAAGCAAGGTTGCACACAACCTTTTGGGTATGTTTTTTAGCTGAGAGAGAAGGAGAATTAGGGCAGCCGCGCAGGGTTTTGTGCGAGAGAAAAAGAAAGAAAGGTAGGGTTTAGTTTTCGGTTTAACTCTCTTTTGGTTAGATCCTTCCAGTCCTACTCTGTGATAGGTGTTTTGAAAGAGTATTGTTGTAATCCAGCTTTGGGTGAAGTCATGTGTATCCACCGGTTGGTGAAGACTGTTTTCCCATTATTGTGATAGTGGAAATTTAACTATTGTTACAGTCCCGTGGTTTTTCCCGATTTGAGTTTCCACGTAAATTTGTGTGTTTACTTTACTTTATCAGTTCTCGAATTAGTTGCTTATTTGGTTGGTTGTCCTATTTTATTGGTAGTAGGAAAGGAGTTCTTCTTGGGAATTGTTTCCGCTGGTTGTTGTGTTTATACCCTTTCCGCCACAGCAAATACTTAATCATCAGGTGAACACTATAATTCCAATTTTACAACATGGTGTCCTTATATTGAAGTTATAAAATAAGGATCTATTGTATGAAACTACAAAATCACAAACTCTATTTTTAAGAAAACAAATCCGCTGCACTGCGATCACAAAGAAGTTTCATCTTATCTTCTGAATCTTTCAGCTCACGCTGACTATGCTCCGCCACAGCTTGAATTTCTTTCAGTTGTTTTTCCTTAGCATCTAAATCCGCTGCATTGCAATCACAAAGAAATTTCATCTTATCTTCAGAATCTTTTAGCTGCTGCTGACTCTGCTCTGCCAAAGCTCGAACTTCTATCAGTTGTTTTTGGAGCTCCTCGGAAAGGGAACCATGGTTATACACTTCATTAACAAAACACAGACACTATGAAGACCAGATACACAGGTCAAGGTTAATCATCAAACTGAAAAGGAAAATAAAAGAACGACAAGCAAGACGTTGGGGCAAACCTCAGAGAAGGAAGTAAAACCTCGTCTCCCCAGTTCCTCCGTGGATAGACTTGTGAATGATTCCATTCCCTCACAAAACATTGAAGAAGGGGGGTCCGCACAGATCATGAATTTGTTCACATTGGTGTCCACTTCTTGATGAGGGGTTGAAACTCTTCTTTTCTTATTGAGGTTTTGAAGGTCTGAAGCAGCACAATGCTTTTTCTTTTTCAAATTATGCGGCCTAGACCCCTGCATCTTAGAGGGTGGACAATGAGCAGGTGATTTTTCACCCTGAAGAGAAGGAGTGATGAGTTTCTCCGCAGAAGTTTCCTCCTCAGAACTCGTTTCTGAAACAGACAGTACAGTGATTTGGGGGGCAGTGGCAGTGGCAGTGGCATTCTTCGGAGCAACAAAATGAGAAAGATTCGTATTATCTGTGGAAATAAATTAAAACAGTAAACAAGAAACTATAAGCCAAGGAATTAGAAGTCATGTCCTCAAAATCACAAGATAACTAAAGAAATAAGACAGGTTATGATACAAATCTAACAAGCAAGTTCAATCCATCCACCTAAACTGGGAGAAGAAGATCCCCCAGAAGATGATCCACATAGCTCAGCTCTAATACGATCCAATGCCTCCTCCGTTATCTCAGCTAGTGATAAACTTGTGGCCAAGTAATTTCGTAACATGAGAAGAAGGGACGTTTTAGAGGCCGGCTCCTTGGCATCCCCAGCAGATTCAGAGACCTTTGAGTAATTCCATTCCAGAGGTAATCCTAAAGAATCAGTACGCACCATGAAAAACTGCTCTTTCCAGCCCATGTTCCAAGAATTTATATCCGTGATCAGCGGCTTTAATTGTCAACAGAATCAGCAAATCTTTAATGATTTGCTGGTTATAGTGGGCAGATTTTATTGTTCTAATAGTTGTTATTTTTAACTGTAAATATTTAAATTTTAAATTTAGGAGATGATTAGATTTAGATATGTATCTATCTGTTTGTTAGGTGACAAGCCGTCGTCACACTAGTCAAATAATTGATTACCTACTTAATACAATTACTAGCAGTAAAGCAGAAAGCAGGGTCGATCCCACAGAGAAGGTTACCAAGTACCGGTTAAAATTATTTCTTATTATTATTTAGATTAACAATTTATCAATTTAAACTAATCTAAACCTAAAACTATCAATTGCAGTTAATTAAAGATATAAATAAGTAAAAGAAAAACCTAGGGCAAACGGTTCACCAACCGACTATTCAGTTTAATTTAATCTATAGATATGTGACTTTGGACTTTCATTAATCTCACAACGATTCACCTATTTAAGAACTATTCACTGTCGTGATATAATTCTCTTACTCAAACTAACCCTATGACTACTGTCGTGACTGTAGGATTTAATTAGAGTACATTAAGAATCCTAGAATCTATAGCTGCAAATACGGTGTTCCTACTTTCGTGGCCCCACTATCTAAGTTTAATATTCCCACGAACTAGTACTAACCTTCAACCGTCGTTCCTTCAGTTAAACACCTTTAAAGCATGCAAGTGGTAATCAAATACTCACATGGAATAAAAACAAGAATATTAAATATCAACTAATGAAAAAGTCACAATCATGAATTAAATGAAATTAAATAGTACGGCGGCTACATCCAAAACCCTAGTTAAATAATTTAGCTACACATCATCTCAAAAATAAATAAACCAATGAAACCCGAGAGAAGTCGGCTAAAAGTTGAGTCTGAAGTTGCTTGCTTCCTCCTCCGATGATGTGCGTGGGTTTGGTGTGGTGAATGGTGGCGTGGAGAAGAGGTGATGGTGCTTGGTGCGTCGGGGGTGTGTGGCGTAGAAAGGTTGGGTGATGGAGGCTTAGGGTGGTGAAGGAGGGGAGTTTGGTGCGTGAAGTGGGGCTAAGGGTGCTGATGGTTTTGTGGTGTGAGGGTGGTGGTTTTGTGGCGGTTCAGAGCTGGGAAAGAGGTGATGGTCGGCAGAGTTGGTTAAAAAAATAAAACCCTAATCCTCCTTTTATAGGCTTTTGTCAAACCCTATTTCTTCAGGAAGAAGAAAGCTTACTTTCCAATTAAAATTGGGATTAAAATTCTTGCGATTTCTTCCTCATTAGTTCTTACAATCTTCATTTAGGCCCTTTTTAGTTGCTCTTTTTTTTCAGTTTACTCCAAAACCTCAACAATTCTTCCATTTGAGTACAAAACCTACAAATAAAGATAAAATCATATAAATAGCATACTTGTACTCAAAATATATTGCAAAATCATAAATTAGGGATATAATAAATAGGTAAAATTTAAGCATATCATTAGGATAATACCTACCCTATATAAAGAGGGTTCTCCAATAAAGGAAATACATCTCTTTTCCACAGAATCTCAGTTCTCCTCTCTCACAGAAAGCTTTTGTTTCTTTTCATGATAAAATCTCGGATTTTAACGTGGTATCAGAGCTACTTTTGTAGACCTTGATCCATTATTCTTCGTTCAAATTCTTAGTTTTCTGAGTCCAAGTTTTCCTGGTGTTACTAGTCATCTAGTTCTCCATTCATAGTCATCCTAATCCAAGTTTCTCCAAGTCATGTCTTCAGAAAAATATGATGCCCTCTTGGTTCACTTCAACGGCAAGAACTATGCAGCCTGACCACCAATCAGGTTGAACATAACCAAAGTGGTTGTGGTGGAGTGGAAGGGACTCCTCCACCCTTAACCATAGGTCGATGGTTCGAACCTCGCCATGGGTATGGAGCAACCTTAAATATTTTGGCCAGCTGTCCCATCCATCGAGGTGTCTACAATTCAGCAAGAGGGATTAGTCACTGTTGCGTACGGTGGACACCCTAAAAATATGCAAAAAAGGAAAAAAAAAACCAACCAGGTTGAGCATGCCAAATGGGGTGTCAAAGATGCTCAAATTATGGGATGGATCCTGGGTTCTGTCGATCCAAACATTGTCTTGAATCTTGGACCGTGCAAGACTTCAGCCCAAATGTGGGTTCATCTTAAGAAAATCTACAGCCAACAAAACTCTGCTCGTCGATATCAATTGGAACTTGATCTTGCTAAACTTCAGCAGGATGGTCTTTCTATTTCTGATTTTTATTCTTCCTTCATGAATCTGTAGACTGAGTACACAGACATTGTTTATGCTTCCTTACCTGCTGAAGGTCTTGCTGCTGTCCAATATATTCTTGAAGCAACTGAAAGGGACCAGTTTCTTATGAAATTGAGACCTGAATTCGAGTCCATTAGATCTAGCCTCATGAATCGAGCTCTTATTCCGTCTTTAGACACATGTTTAAATGACTTGTTTCGTGAGGAGCATCGCCTTTTCACTCAGAACTCCACGAAAGATCAAGAAGTTGGTTCTGTCCCCATAGCCTATCCAGCACAAGGTAAGGCAAAAGGAAGAGATCTGCGTAGTATTCAGTGTTACTCTTGTAAGGGGTTTGGGCACTATGCTTCCAGTTGTCCCAAAAAGTTCTGCAACTTCTGTAAGAAGGAAGGCCATATAATCAAGGAATGTCCTACCCGTCCTCCTAGGAGATCCGAGACAGCTTATACAACATCGGTTAGAACTTCAAGTGCAGGTCCTTCTACTTCAGCTCAACCTATGACCGCAAAATTGGTTCAACAAATGATTGTTTCTGCATTCTCAGCTCTAGGAATCTCGGGTAAACTTTCTTCTACTTGGGATTTTGACTCCATAGCCTCCAATCATATGATGAATAATGATTGTCTCCTTTCCAATTTAAACAAATATTTTGGAAATCTTGAGATTCGTACTGCTGACGGCAGCCATTTATCCATCACAAAAACTGGTGATATTTCTTCCTCTTTGACTGATGTCTTTATCTCCCCTGGGCTCACTACTAATTTGATCTCGGTTGGTCAATTAGTTGATAATAATTGTAATGTGTGATTTTTTAAGTCTGGTTGTGTTGTGCAGGATCAACAATCGGGGAAAACAATCACGAGGGGGCCTAAAGTTGGACGTCTTTTTCCTATCTAATTTTCCACATCAAGCTCTTTGCCAGTTATCTCTTGTAACTTAGCTCATGTTGATTACCAATCATAGCAAAAACATCTAGGATATCCAAATAAAGTCGTTCTTTCTCAATTGTTGAAATTTGGCTTGCTTGGTAATAAAACACTGCCTTCTCTTAGTGATGTTCAGTTTGATTGTAACTCTTGTAAAATTGGAAAAAGTAAAACTTTTCCCTTTCCCACACATACACCAGATGTTGTTCTGTCTTTGATTTAATCCATAGTGATATTTGGGGTATGTCTCCAGTTATTTCTAATTCTCACTTTAAGTACTTTGTCACTTTTATAGATGACTACAGTCGATTTACATGGATTTATTTCCTGCGATCTAAATCTGAAGTACCTTTTCTCTTCAAACTCTTTTATGCATACATTCAAACCCAATTTTCTGCTAAAATCAAAGTACTTCGTGCTGATAATGGAGATGAATATATGTCTTTTGAATTTCAAGGATTTCTACAAAAACTGGCATAATTTCACAAACATCTTGTCCTTCAACCCCTCAACAAAACGGGGTGGCTGAAAGGAAGAATCGTCATCTTCTTGATATTGTTCGTACCCTCTTATTAGAGTCATTTATGCCATCCCAATTTTGGTGCGAAGCACTCTCTACTGCTATGTATCTTATTAATAGATTGCCCTCTCCTTTGTTAAACAATGACTCTCCATTCTCTCGATTATTTGGTCATAGTCCAAATTATTCTAATTTGCGTACTTTTGGATGTGTGTGTTTTGTCCACCTTCCTAAACATGAACGCACCAAACTCATAGCTCAGTCAATTAAATGTGCTTTTCTAGGATATTCTGTCCACCAAAAAGGTTTTATTTGCTACGACCCTCAGTTGCGTCGTATTCGAGTATCTAGAAATGTGATATTCTTTGAAAATCATTTTTTTTTCTCAACTTTCAAAGAACCTTTCACTCCCTCACATTCTATGGTGCATTTATTTAATGATAACTCTGAAGGAGATCTCTCAACTGATATACCTCTGATTCCTAAACCTCTATTAGTTTATCAAAGGCGTAAACCACCAACCCAAATCACATCATCAGCCCCAGAACATCCAACTTCAGAAGTCCCTCAAACTAATTCCCTTGTTGATCGTGTTGTAGCTGCCAATACTCAAAGACGAAATTCCAAGGTTAGACAACCCCCAGAAAGGTATAGGTTCTCTAATCCGGTATCATTGTTGACCACCTTGACATCTGTTTCTATTCCATTACATGTTGACAATACTAGTGCTATCCAAATTGCAGTAAACCCAATTCACCATGAAAGGACGAAGCATATAGAGGTTGACTGTCACTATATTCGAAAAGCATATGATAACCAAGTACTTAGCCTCCCACATATCTCTACTACACTACAGATTGCAGATATTTTCACCAAAGCCGTGCCAAGTCAACGCCATAACTTTCTTGTTAGCAAATCGATGCTAAATGACCTACCAGCATCAATTTGAGGGGGGATGTTAACAGAATCAGCAAATCTTCAAAGATTGCTGGTTATAGTTGGCAGATTTTATTATTCTAATAGTTGTTATTATTAGCTGTAAATATTTAAACTTTAAATCTAGGATATGATTATATTTAGATATGTATCTATCTATTTGTTAGGCTAATACCTACCCTATATAAAGAGGGTTCTCCAACAAAGGAAATATATATCTTTTCCACAGAATCTCAGTTTTCTTCTCTCACAGAAATCTTTTATTTCTTTTCATGATAAAATCTATGATTTTAACATTAATTTTAGCTCAC